TGGTTTGAGATAAGTTTTTGGGCAAATCAGGCCATTTTTTTTAGCTTTTGGACCTTTATGCCATCTCCAACCGAAGGGGCTACATTTAGCCTCCGTCTAGATTATAACCCTGCAAGAAATTATTTTTTAATAAACAATGCCATGCTATATCTATATACAATCTCCAACCGAAATGACTATTTTTTAGCCCCCTCAATAATTTATTGTTTAAGTTGGTTCTTTAATTTTATCGGTTAAGTGAATTACACTATCATATTAAAATAAGGTTTTTGGACATATTTTGAGGATCACTTATCACTAACTGTTATTTTAAGTTTCATGTTATTAAATATTTTAATTTTACTTGTATGTTAACAACTTAGACATTGAAATGAGATAAGATAGTATGGAAATGTGAAAATAATGTGAGAAATTGTGTAGAAATGTCTTAGGTATATATAGGAAAAAATTAGAATTTTTAATTTTTTTTTTAAATTTTGTCTAAAAAAAAAAAAAAAAACTACATGATGTAAGCTAGCAACACAGCTGGGCCCAACTTTCAAGGTTGGCTGGCTATGTAATTAGTTTTGTGTCAAACGGGCTATGTTTTGGCCTTTAGCCCTTTGGCCGGCTTAGTTGGAGATGGAACCCTTTCCATTAGAGATGGCCTTAGGCTCATACATTTAGATCAACCCTACCGTTGCTTATTGCCTTGGGACTAGACAATCCAATCCACTCATCCTCCTTCCCAAAACACTCCAACCCATTCGGGCAATTAAACTCAAGCTGACTTCATCATAATGTCAACCACAATTTAAATTATTAAAAATTATAAATAATATTAAAAAAAACTAAAAAAATATACAAAATTATAAATTTTTTTCTATAAATACCTAATCACGTTCTTCCACTTTACACTACATTCCAACATTTTCAAATACTTTCAACCAATCTTTTATTATTATATGAAATTAAAAATAAAATTATCTTTTATTATTTTATAAAATATGAATTGTTTGAGCTATATGGGTTAAGATGCATTTTGACAATTATTATTCATTTAAGGGGATTAAGTTGTCTATTGTCCTCCGGAAAGGCCTTACTACACTATGGCGCGTTTACTAATCCGTAATCAAATTGAGAGGAATTGGATTGAGGGGGAATTGGATTGAGGAGGAATTGAAATGAGGTGGAATCAGAATCAGATTCCTGTTGAAGTTGTTTACTAAAACTGTCAGGAATCGGAGTTGGAATGATGTTGAGTCCATATAAGTTGTTTACTAATTCATTTCAATCGGAATGAAAACTAGGTTGATTACTATATTGCCCTTACATAAATAAATTATTTTCATACTAATTAATTTAATTAAATTCTTAATTAAATTTATATAATAAAATTCATCTATATAAGCATGTATAAATAGGTTTTATTTATTTATTAAAAGATGGCAAAAATGATATTGAGTCTATATAAGTTGTTTACTAATTCACTTCAATAGGAATGAAAACTAAGTTGATGACTAAATTGCCCTTACATAAATAAATTATTTTCATACTAATTAATTAAATTAAATTCTTAATTAAATTTATATAATAAAATTATCTATATAAAAAAATATAAATAGGTTTTATTTATTTATTAAAAATGACATAATGAGTGTCAAATGAAGGGCAATGTTAGGATAATAAGAAACAAGTGAGGGCATAATTGGAATAAAAGATACATTCCTGATTCCCTTGCCCTTAGGGAATTCAAATACCTCACAAAACTAGGGAATCCGGTTCCTCCAATTTCAGGAATTGGATTCCTTGTTTCGTGTGGGCTCCACCACTTTTTTTATTCCTTAATATTTAGTAAACACCGGAATACTCCGTAATCGGAATTCAATTCCCTTTCTTTATTCCGATTACCCTTACGTAAACATGCCAAGTGCCCGGAGCCTCATTTTCTCCTCATTCCTCATTGGACTATCAGCAGCATGACTTGTTTGGGCCGACGGTGGATTCCATGAACAGCCCAATGCATATGTCCTCTGCATTACTCGAATTTCTTTGAGCATTTTGTGGGATCCTATTGTGCGTAGGGACTGGGGTTGCTTGGATTGGACGATTCCTCTGTTTGGTGCATTTTGGAGGTCTTTTCGCCTGCTATAAAGTGCTTTCGACGTGTGAATGCGTTTGCCAAAGATCTTCTAGAACCATGTTTGGCTTGGGTGACATATTTTGCCCTTGTTACTTGCAAGCTTGTGCGTCTTGGATTTTGAAATGTACACAAACTAATTATTCATGCCTTCATGGTTAGGTTTTAGGATTTTAGGGCTAGAGGCACGGGATGAATCAAACTAGCAATCGCCTTGGAGAACGAATCCTGTCCAGAATCAGCATATTTAAGAAAGCTATTGGCATAATTTTTCGCATGCAAGTTAGGCCACCGAGTTTTTTTAAATACAAGTTGTGTACAACAGTTGTATGCAAAAATTTCTCCAATCTAAGAGATGTAAAACAACATGGATATAATTTTTTACTTGTTTATATTTTTTTTATTGCAGTCACACAACAAAAGTATGAACATTTTTTAACAAAAATTGGTGATATGGCGTATACAATACTCCAGGTTTTTAGCCATTAGCCTTTACTAGAACATGTAATCAGTTTTTTTTTACCATATATTTTTTTATATGAAATTATCAATATTGTAATACTTTTGGATGAAAATTGAAAAAAGATCATCTCTGGATCTCTTCCACCAAGGGCACAGGATCAAGTGATCCGGGCCCTTGAAATTTGATCCAACGACAAAAATGATTATAACTTTTAAAGGGGGTCTCTGTTTTTAGCCGTTTGATCAAATTTTAAAGGTCCGGATCACTTGATTTAGTGGCCTTAGCGGAAGAGATCCGGAGATGATCTCTTTCCATGAAAATTAAAAGGTGTTTATGAGTGATGTGACCAAACTCATATGCTCAATTCCTTCTCTTGTAATATATGGTATGGGATGTGTTTTCCAAACATCCTTTTTACTTCTCACACTTCTTGTTAATTTTTGTTTTTTGGTCTTTTTTCCATTATTTGATAAATGTGTGAGAAGTAAAAAAGGACGTGCAGATATCACACTCCATATGGTATATGAAGTTAGAATGTTGTGTGGGTACCCTCATATGGAGAGCAACTTACATAAAACGACAAATTTACCGTCACGTAGAGTTCTTGTTCAATAGCACAATATCATAAGAAAAATTTGCACATAACTTGTTTTATGTAAGTCTTTCTCCCTCATATGTGCTTTCACATCCAAATGCCAAACATTTCCAATGAGATAAAGACATGATTTGACTAAAGAAGATTAGTGAATATAAAAGATGATTAAAGAAGATTAAGGCAATTTTGACTAAAGTAGATTAGTGAATAGAAAAGAATATTAGCACCTTACAAAATGTTGAATGCACTATACATTAAAATTTAATATTAAATAACTTATTTACCCTATTATCAATGGCAATTTTGACCTTATTAGGTTATTAAAAAAAATCTAAATACACCTGAATTCACATTTAACATATTATTAATCTTCTTTAACTATCAAAACCCCTCCGACCCTCCATTGATGAACAAAACTCTAACCAATGAAACTACAAACATATTGATTGAGAACAATTCTTTTTAACGAATGAAACATGAAATCGATGTTTCGAAAGCTTCACATGATGTAAGACTTCATATTTTTTTTATTGTTTTAGTGATTTTGACGATATCGATAATTATTTAATTTTGCTTTTGCTGCATTATTTAAACTTCTATGTTCGTATTCATCTTTTAGGGATCATATGGATTACATGAAGAATTAAACATCTAAAATTATCACCAAATATTAAAAACAGACAACATGAGTTTTAATGGTGGAATTGAAAACAACCCACATATACTTTAAATCTCAGGCGGCATATTTTGTCAAAATTCCAATCGGCATTTTTTGTCTAAATTAAAAGCTTTATAAGATTTGAGAAATGTGAGGTGTGTAGAAAATATAGGATGCATGTAGAAAATGTAAAGTGTATATTGAGAACGTTGGGTGTGAGGGTATTATGGAAAAGTATGTGAAAGTGTATTAAGATAATTTTTAATTGAAAAAGCAAATGTGAAATGTATTAAATATGTGTGGTTTATTCAACAATTTATGTGGTGTTAATATAATAAACTAAGATTAATCCCTATATTAATAAAGTGCAAAAATAAACTTGGACTATTATTTATATTAAGGGTAAATTACATAGTATCTCTCAAGTTTGAGTTCTATTACAACCTCATACAATATTTTTAAAACATTTCACTTTCATAACTCACATACTATTTTATTTCAAAATAATACATCCGTTAGAGTTTCCATCCCTTGGTCTGTTAAATGATGACGTGGCTGCCACAGTTGTGCCACGTGGCTGCCAAATATGTACCACATGTCAATTCTTTTTTATTCATTTTAAATATTGTAATAATTTACCCTTTAAATATTATAAAAAAAACCCAAATTATAAAAATATTTTAAATATTTTAAATATTATAAAATATTATAATAATATTAATTTACCCTTTAAATATTATAAAAAAAAACCCAAATTGAAACCCACCTCCGCTCTACCCCTACCCCTGCAAACAAGCCCAGAAACCTCCCCCCGACCCACCTCCCTCTCCTCCTATCACCACCACATCCCTTTCCCATCACTATCTCAGCCCCCCATCCCACCTTCTCCCTCACCTCCCTCTCTCTCACTACAACTTCAACTCCTCTTTGATTTGAATTTGTATGTGCTCCCAACTCCTATTCGAACGAGAATCTGTATGCTACAACCATTTCCACCCCAACCTGCTGCAAATGCAGAGCCCAAACTCCATGGTTGCCACATCACACCCAGAAATTGATGCAGTTGCACATGACGTTCAAAGGTAAGAACCCTAATTTTTCCCCCAAATTACTCAAATCCCCATCTGGGTTCTGCTCATTTTTCGATTATGCAAACTGGGTTTTGCTTATTTTTCGATTTTGCTAATCTTCCCCCAAATTACTCAAATCATCATCGCCCAAATCTCCCCTCTGAGTCCCCCAAATATCTCATCCATTCTATTTAAAGAAAAGTTTTTTTGAAAAAAAAAAAACCCATATCTTCCCACCCAGCCACCCCCTCCCCATCACCACCGCAGAGCTCTCTCGTTTCCAGTTTTCAATACTGGAAATAATCAATTAAACCAAATTAAAAAATTTTAAATGAAAGAAAAATATGTAAAAAAACAAAAAGTAGATCTGTAATTGCAGATCTTCAATTACAGCCTTCAACATACCTTTCCACCTAACATCCTGGACACTTCCCCTTTCCCTCTTTTCCTCCGATCTCGGTGAGCTCCACCATTGATAGGAGCATATTTATGCGACTTAGTTAACATGTTTTCTTGCATTTACTTAGTTAGTTATTGCTTATAAGAGTGTTTTAAGCTATTTTCGTGTGTTTGTAGGTCCTAATAACAAAGTTGGAAAGAAAGTGCATTTTGGTGCAATTTAGAGCAATTTTGGGCCAAAATGGATTGCATGCATATGGAGCAAGTGGGATGGACGTTTTTGGTGTTTTAAAAAGGGTTTCAACACATGCAAAAATCTGAATAATGAAGTTGAAGTGTGAAAGTGTGCAGATACATACACTTAAGGAACATTTTGAAATGAAAAGAAGTGAAAGATGCCATTTGTTGGATTGCTTTACAAGATGTATTCACATTTTCAGCAACTACAAACATAGTTGCAAGCTGAAATGATGCATAACATGTGTGTAGAGGTGTAAAGTGGCCGAAAGTTGATGTTTGCAAGATGAAATGATGCAAAACATGTGTGTGAAAGTTGTCTAACAACTAGTACATGTGGAAAATGGATGGAATACAAGGCAAATGCATTAGAAATTGAAGAATGAAGGCACATGGACAGCTACAAAGGAGTTAAATTAGCAAAAGAGGAATGATTGCCTTTTGTTAAAGGCAAGACACAATGATAAAAGAGCATGTAAACTAGCTGTTTTTGCATCATTTTGGTCTTTGTTTGTATTGTTTATTGAAGCCACTTGAGTGATTCTTTGCTTTGGAGCTTCTATAAATAGGGAGTGAAGGGAAGAACACTACATTTTACACTACATCAAAAACACATCAACCACACCTCCATATTCAGAATTTTCGCCAGAAATCATTCCCTCTCTTTGCCGCAGCCTTCCTGCACTATTCTTCCATATTTTTCTGATTCTTTTTACCCTAGCCGTACCCCCCATCAATCCTAAACCCTTCCATACCATTCCCTACCCATTCTCCCATACAAATACCACCCTAGAACCTGACTTTAGACCAAGTGCCGCAGCAAGGAGGAAAGAAGACTTGTGGATGCACCTGCTGTCCAAGTTGGATCATCTAGGTGTTTTCTTTATTTGGATTTTAATGTCTAAATTTATGTATCTTTGCTTTGTGAGTATGAGGAACTAAACCCCCCTTGGCTAGGGGGGAATTTGAAACCATGTTTATGCTCGCTATATGATTTGATTACTTCTAATTGCGTTTCATAAGTTGTGAATTCAATTTACTTATCTACATGAATTAAAACTGATTTGTGTATGTTGGTTGAGAGTGCACGCTTAATTTTCATGCATAAGTTTGATGCTAGAATATAAGGGAGTTTCACCTAATCGTTATGAACTTATATTCACAAGTAGTAAAGGTTGTTGATCACAATCGTGTTAAGTAAATTATTGACATAAGTTTCATGCAATTCATAGTAACGAGTGCTTCGCCAATGCTTATGATTTTCATAGAACTTAATGATTCTTGCTTGTATCTCTATTATGCAATTCATGTAGGGAACTTGTGGGGAATGCTTTGGGTTGTCGTATGCAATTCATCCAATTCAATAACTTAAGGAAAATCTGAGGGTTAACTAGTGCAATTCACGGTTAATCTGGGGTGTTGGGAATTCATGGTTTATCGAAAAGCAATTGGAAATCGTTTTGTATGCAAGTGTGACATGTGTGGAGAAGAACCCCTTAGCTAGCTTTCCATCCATTCACTTTTCTCAAATTCGTTTTAGAATCTGTGCAATTTACAAGTTTTGTTTTTGTTTTCAATTTTCGTCAAAACCAATTCCCCATTTATTTTAAAGTGTTAGATTAAGTAGAAATTAATTTAGTTTGTGTTTTTAAAGGTCTTGAGTCAAGTTATAACCCAATTTCGTCCAATTTAGTGTTAGGTGTCAAAACTGCCCAGAAAGTGTTTTTAAGGCAGTTTTGAGTGTTTATTTGCTGTTTTGAGTCTTTTGGTTTGTTTTGGTGTTTTATAGTTTAGTTTTGCATTCTTTGAGTCTAGTTTAGTGTTTTAAACTTTGTTTTTACGTTTTGAGTCAGTTTCAAGTGATTTGGCAATCCCTCCTAATCCCCGGCCTAGAACGATCCCTACTTACATACTTTGCTACAATTGATAAAAAAAGGGTTTAATTTGTGTGCTTATATATTTCGCATCAACCATCAAACGGATATGCAATTGTAGTGAGAGAGAGGGAGATAAAAATTCAAAAAATTGTAGTGAAAGAGATGAGAGAGAAAGGAGGAGGGAGGGAGAGTTTGGGTCCTCGGTCGCGGAGTGCTTGAGGAATGGGGGAGGAAGAAACGGGGTTTAGTTTCTTTCCTAGTCGACAAAGAAACCAGAAAAGGGATGAATCCTAGTCGACAAAGAGATGAATCCTTTCTTTAAAAGAAAATTTTAATTTTTTTTCTGAGTAAATATTATAATATTTAACAGACCAATGGTGCATATTTGGCAGCCACGTGACATAATTATAGCCGCCACGTCAGCATTTAATAGACCAATAGATGAAAAATCTAACGGATATATTATTTTGAAATAAAATAGTACGTGAGGTATGAAAGTGAAATATTTTAAAGATATTGTATAAAGTTATAATATATCTCAAACCTGATGAGGTACTATATAATTTATCCTTATATTAATTATCTAGGTTAGAAAGTGATTGGAGTCGCGTAGTGCTTGCCAGTTATTGCCACATGTAGATATATCGCACATGCTATCAATTCAAAACTCCGTTTTGTTTTCGGGCCGGTGCAGGCCGTCACACGCGGACACAGACAGATCCATGTGCCTTGTTTAATCTATCTTAGTGGCGCACAAACACAACACATGTTTTTGGTTTCTTCACTTAATTTGGAGTTTGATTTGCTTGATGTGAGCCTGTGAAACTGTGAAGTGAAGCCTCTCATGATCTCTACGTAAACAAAAGTGGCCCCATGAACATGATCAATCTAGCTGAATCTCGTTCTTGTGGTCACATAGTGAATCAATAATCATAATAATATTTCTACTTTCTAGTTAGCTAAACAATGAGGCCTCATGATTTTGCTCGATTTTCTTGATTTCGTACGTTAAAATACGAATATTGTTTCCTAGTTTAGTGAATTTTATAGAATTCAAATATTAATGTTTACAAGAATTACTTACATTATGAAATATGTAAATCAGCATCGTGTTTTACAAGTGGCTCATAACGCTAAAGTGGAGGAAAAAAAAATACATATCAACAAAACATTGTACATGCATTATTCAACTTACTATGAAAAAACATTATGAAAAATTCGCCTATTTAATTTTTTTTTTTTTGTAATATGTGTATTATTATGAAAAAATGAAAATTATTAGGGAAAAGGGCATCGATGAGGACACCCTAGTGCATGAGCATAATTGTAGTGGGTTAAATAGTTAATTATTAAAAAAAAAAGAGAATTAATACAAAAATTACTTTTATCATGCAATTAAGAACTGCACCAAAAGTAGGAGTGCAAATAATTGTTTAGATTTGAAACAACTCATGAAATCAATAATGAGTTAATAATCACCCAAATATTTTTGGTATCAAAATCTCGATCTCAAATACTACCCACGACTTTATGATGCTTCTCATTTGGTAAATTCCTTTATGGCAACTCTGCAGAGTACTATATAATGGTTTAAAGTTCACAATCAGTTAGTTATAATAATTTATTATTGTATTCATCAAGATCTTAAGTTAAAAAATAACTTACAATAAACTCGTCACGTAGAAGATAATTTAAATCAAATAACAACGTGCATGATAAAAGTACATTGCACCGTCCGGGGAAATTGAAAGTCAACCCTTAAGAGCGTAGGACGCGCTTAAATTTATAATTCTCGCCAAAAAACCAAATTGATAGGCTATATCATCATTTTGTCGAGCTTAGTTTTAGCCTCCAACCCTTGCACAACACATTAAATTATATTTCTTGGTGGACAAAATATTTAGTAAATTACTATTATATAAAACGAAAAAAATATTATCATCATTCAGTAATACAATTTGATGATATTCATATTCATTTAGAAGTAAAAGGTATTAGATTCGAATATCGTGTATGGTGAATTTGATACCAAATTAAGCTGCATATTGTGTGGCTTAACCGAACTCTCACTTTTTTACTGTAAAAATATCAATGTACTAAAGAAAAATAAATAAAAATAGGAATGTGCTATCCACATATCTTATTTTACTTCTCATACACCCCTTGATAATTTCAGTCATTTGATCTTCTTCAATTCATCAAATCTGACGACCGAAAATTAAAAAAGTATGTGAAAAGTAAAATAGGGTGTGTGGATATCACACCCCTAAAAATAATCAATGAACCCTACATTTTGATATAAGTCTACTTTGATATAGAATAAAAATTAAAAATTAAAAAAAAAAGAAAAAAAAAAGAGAAAATTGGCGGGATTGGACCGCCGAGTAGTTTTTCCCCTCCAACGGGATGACGTGCGAGAAGAACTTAAATAAAAAATACAACTTCTATAAATTAATTTTAAATAATTCGGAAACTTGTCGGGAGCTTATATACATTTCTGATGTTCATTCCCCCAAGCCAGCACCGACGTTTCTCCTTCTCACCCCCTAAACGCCCACCATTTCCTCCATATTTACAATCCTAACCTCCTTCGGAGTACAAAATCCTGAAGGCAGCCTCAAACGCTGCAGTTCTTGTATCCACCTTCCGGTTCAACTCGGGCGAGTCAGAATGCTGGACCGGTGCTTATGGCCTCGCCGGGCCCGCCAGATCCAGAGAGCTTTGCGGCAGGGAATGGTGACGTTTCTGTGCTTGTTCTTAACCGTCGTTGTCCTGCGCGGCACAGTCGGAGCCGGGAAGTTCGGAACACCAGAGCAGGACTTCAACGACATCCGCGAACGGTTTTACACGCACAACCGGCGCGTGGAGCCCCATCGAGTGCTCAAGGAAGCCACCCCCGAAACCAACCAAAACGATGCCGACCAGGCCGGCCAGTCCAACAACTACGCCGAGTTCGACATATCCAAAATCCTCAAAGACGAACCCGAAACGGAAGACGAGAAGCGCGACCCGAACCAGCCCTACAGTCTCGGCCCCAAAATATCGAACTGGGACGAGCAGAGATCTGATTGGCTGAAGAAAAACCCGGGTTTCCCCAATTTTGTCGGACCCAATAAGCCCCGGGTCCTGTTGGTAACCGGGTCGTCGCCCAAACCGTGCGAAAATCCGGTTGGTGACCACTACCTATTGAAATCGATCAAGAACAAAATCGACTACTGCCGCCTCCACGGGATCGAGGTCTTTTACAATTTTGCTCTTCTGGACGCGGAAATGGCCGGGTTTTGGGCCAAGCTGCCGCTGATCCGGAAGCTCCTCCTGTCCCACCCGGAGGTGGAGTTCCTCTGGTGGATGGATTCCGACGCCATGTTCACCGACATGGCGTTCGAGGTCCCCTGGGAGCGATACAAGGATCACAATTTCGTTATGCACGGATGGAACGAGATGGTGTATGGTGATAAGAATTGGATCGGGTTGAACACCGGGTCGTTCCTGCTCAGAAATTGCCAGTGGTCGCTCGACATGCTGGACGTCTGGGCGCCGATGGGTCCCAAGGGGAAGATCCGGGACGAGGCGGGTAAGGTCCTGACCCGGGAGCTCAAAGGTCGACCCGTTTTCGAAGCCGACGACCAGTCCGCCATGGTTTATATATTAGCGAAAGGGAGGGACACTTGGGGGGAGAAGGTGTACTTGGAAAACGGGTATTATCTCCACGGTTATTGGGGGATTCTGGTGGACAGATACGAGGAGATGATCGAGAACCACCACCCGGGGCTGGGCGACCACCGGTGGCCGCTGGTGACGCATTTCGTCGGGTGCAAGCCGTGCGGGAAGTTCGGGGATTACCCGGTGGAGCGGTGCTTGAAGCAGATGGACCGGGCGTACAATTTTGGGGATAATCAGGTGTTGCAGATGTACGGGTTCGAGCATAAGTCGCTGGGAAGTAGGAGAGTGAAGAGGGTAAGGAATGAGAGTAGCAATCCGCTGGAGGTGAAGGACAAGCTTGGATTGCTGCACCCTGCTTTCAAAGCTATCAGGCAGTCATCATCTTCCTGATTTTTTTTTTATTTGTTGCTAATATTTATTTTTTTAATTTATTAAGTTAATAATACTGTCAATTTGTAATTCACTTTTGATGTTTTTTTGTTAATGATTTATCTTTGAAGGAATATTAAACTTCAAATGTATTATTGATTCTTGGGTTTTGTTTGGAAAAAAATGCATATCATATATCGAGGTGGAATGATTTTCTACCCTCCTATTCCTATCCATTTTCATCAATCTACCCTCCTATTCCTATCCATTTCCATCCCTTTATCTCATACATTATTTTTTGTCTTATTATCTTTATAAAAAAATCAATATAAGATATTGACGTGGCTTAACAGTGACTGTTTACATAGGAGGGCATGGAAGGGTAAAGAGATTAGAAGGGTAGAGAATTCTCCTCCTATGTCAAGTTCCTCCTTGCTCTCTGGAGTGATAAATTTTGATGTTTAATTAGGCGGGTGTGTTCGATTGAGATTTTAAAATGCACATGTATGTAAGAGGAATTTGTAAATGACTTCAAGTACAAATTTGCAATTCCTTTCACAAACATTTGTAATTTTCATGAAAATCATTTCTAGTTTATTGTTTATTAACTTGATCTCAATTTCTTATAACTTTAAATTTCTAACTCAAGCATAACTTTAATTGTGATTAACACATTAACAGTGTCAAAAATTCGACGTAGTTTGTTTTGACAAAAAAAGGTAGGTTTTTTTGTTTCAAAGAAGATGTCAAAATCCTAAATGAATTGACATCGTCCACTTGGATGACAAATTTGAAGCAACGTCGAAATTTTATTCTGTTTTATTTTAATGCTAACCCACATATTTCTTTATTTTTCTTTCATTTAATGATTATTTTATCACTAAATTCTGACCTACTGATTTTATAAATAACCAAAAAGCATTCTAATTTGACATCACGTTAGAGTATGAGTCTTTACAAAATGTTATTTTGTCATATCAGCTGTAAAAATAAATTTGACATCTGCATTGGAGATGGTCTAAATGTCATAATTGAAACAATTGATTTTTTTAGTTATTTGAGAATGCTTAACATGTATTTTTCCAAGAAACTCTCAGCACACCTTCGTCTTTAGTTTTTCTTTTGTGACATACATAGCATGTTTGATTGTTGAGCTTCATATATTAATAATTTGTTTTGATACCATGTTGGTATACGAGCATTTCATTGAAAATCAAATGACGATATCCATCGTAGAATGCTCTCAAGAAACACCAATTTAGTTACCTCATTCATTTAAGAATCCACCGACCAAGATATAACAGTGAAAAATTTCAATATAAATAATATCCAGTTTTTGGGCTCGGATTCCTGACCCAGTCCAACACAGTGTATTGTACAAGTTAGTGGTGGTGGGTCCAGCCCATGGACATCCCACCAGCAAAAGAAGATCTCAAAAGCAAAAGCATGCAAGCTGTTAAATTTGGGCCAAACAAGCCGTTAACACACCCAAAACCCCACTACCTTTAAAATATCAACTCCCCGAACAAGCAAGGAAACCCCTTGCGCTTCCCTCTGGGTCCCACAACCGAATCCAGCAATCGCAAAGTAACCGCATCACCTCACCTCAACTCACCCAACACGATCCTCTTCCTTCCGAATTTTTTTTTGTGGAGATTCGTAAATTGTGTTCATTTATAGTACAATGTACAATTAGTTTTATAAGATACTGTTTGTATTTAATTTTAAATAAAAAAATTAAAATAATATATAACCACATAATGTACGATAAACAGATACAATTCATAAACTTCCAGAATCTTCACACAGAGAATCCAAAGGATATGTAAAAAATCTTACGGGACAATTGTGATTAACACATTTTAATTGCATAAGAGTATTTCCAAAGGATATGTAAAAAATCTTACGGGATTATTTTGACAAAAAATGTGGTTTTCTAGTTTAAGAGGAGATGTCAAAATCCTAAATGAATTGATATTTTCCACTTTGCAGCCAAATTTGAAGGCAATGTAAAAATGTTCTTTTGTTTTATTTTAATGTTGGCCCACATAGTTTTTATCATTTTTCTTTCACTTATTGATTATTTTATTATTAAATTCTGACCCACTTAAATTTATAAATAACCAAAAAACATTATAATTTAACTTCTCAGTTAGAATATGAGACTTTATAAAATGTTATTTTGTCCCATTAGCTGTAAAAACTAAATTTAACATCTACATTGGAAATGGTCCACATGTCATCGTTGAAACAATCTTTTTTTCTAGTTACTAGAGAATGCTCAACATGCTTTTTCTGGGATACTCTCATCATACATTCAACTTTAATTTTTCTTTTGTGACACACGTTGAGTCTCATATAATAATAATTTATTTTGATACCATGTTATAATATGAGCATTTCACTCAAAATTAAATGACAATATCCAATGCTCTCAACAAACACCAACGTAGGGGTGGGCACGGGCCGGGTTGGGCCCAAAATTGAAGGAACCGGACCGAACCCGTTTGTAAATAAAACGGGGCGGGGCGGGACGGGTTTTGGATTTTTCAAAATAGGATCCGGACCTAACCCGGCCCTTTTAAAACGGGCCGATTCCTACGGGTCCCCACGGGTCCTAAGGGTAACCTTCAAACGTTGCATGCTCGTCGGTGGCGGATTAGCAATGGCTTTAAAATCAGAGGAGACGATGCATTTCTAGCTGCCATCAAACAATTCAAAGCTAAAAGTACTGAAGACGAACAGTATATCCACAACAATGAAGCATCCACTACGATAATCCATGCCAAGAAACCCAATGGTTTTATCCACTAATTAAAAAATCAAGATGGCTCAAGCCGAACTGCTCTCAGAACAAACGAATTCATAAAATACAAAGGGTATGTTCAATGAAAACCCAAATTCTCTTAGAACCCACAACAAAAAAACAAAAAACAAAAACAAAAAAAAACAAAGGGCATTTTCAATGAAAACCCAGATGCTCTAAAGTCTAAACTCCACAACAAATTAAAAAAAAAAAAACCATCTCAGATTTCCCACCATACCTGCAGATTAATGAAAACCCAGATGGGCCAAATGCCAAATCTTGCAGAAAATTAAGATCTGAGAGGAGACACTGGAAGACTAAGAACAAAGGGCATGGTGGTCGATTTCGATTCGCTTGGCGCTGACGATGGTGGTGTTTGACAATCTCGAGGCGCTGATGTTGAGGATCTTCATCCTCTTTGCTTGGGACTGTAGAGTTCGACAATCTCGATTTCAATTTGGAAGAAGATGAGATGGTGATGAATTTTGATTTTTTTTGAAGAGTTGGAAGACGGACAGGGGGAATCGAAGACAGTGAATTGGAAGAAGATGAGATGGTGATGAATTTTGTTTGACAATCTCAAGGCTTTCGTGTCGAGTCGGTGAATTGTGATGGCTTTCGTGAATGAATGGGAGAGACAAGAGAGAAGTCTGACTCAGAAAAGATCCAATCAAACGGTGAAGTGGAGGTGTGATTAAATCCAATCCAATAATCCAACGGTAGAAACGGTTCGGGCCGAGCCCCCGTTTTTCCTGATTTTTAGACCCGTCCTGCCCCGTCATTTCCTCCACCCTGCCCCGCCCCGCCCCATTTCTTCTCCAAAATATTTAGACCCGTCCCGTACCCGCCCCGATCCGCTTGAACCCGTCCCGACCCGCGGGTCCAGGACCCGTTTGCCCACCCCTACACCAATGTAGCTATTTCATTGATTTAAAATCGTGGGTTTTTTTTTATTAAGAATCTAACGACAATTCTTATTTAAAATTTACCTAAGTTTTTGGGCTAAAATTCCTGACCCAGCCCAACACAGTGTATTTTACAAGTTAGTAGTGGTGGGTCCAGTCCAGCCCATGAACATCCCAGTAGCAAAAGAAGATCTCAAAAGCAAAAGCATGCGAGCTGTTAAATTTGGGCCAAACAAACCGTTAACACACCCAAAACCCCACTACCTTTAAAATTTCAACTCCCCGAACAAGCAAGGAAACCCCTTCCGCTTCCCCCTGGGTCCCACAACCGAATCCAGCAATCGCAGTAACAGAATTCTCTCCTCTCCGAATTTTTTTTTCGAGATTCGTAAATTATGTTCATTTACATCGTACTACTAGTTTTATAAGATAGTATTTGTATTTAATTTTAAATAAAATATAATTTATAATCACACAATTTATGATAAATGAATACAATTTACAAACTTCCGAAATCTTCATAAAAAAAATCTGACCAGAATCCGGATTCTCAACTCACCGCCAACACAATGGACACGTCAGCACATGTCCACGTTGGAACCTTTCTCTGAGGAATGTGTGAACTCAACTCTCCTCAAAGCTCGCTCTCTCACTATAAAATCCCAACTCTCTTGTTTGTTTCGTTCTCTGGCGGCTCTCCAAATTCTCCAACCCTTTCCCTCCTTCACTTTCTCTCTCTAACCAAACCCTAATTTTCTCACTCCTCCACTGACTTCGAATAATCAGTCGCTGCTTTTTCTTTTTCCTTTTTTTTTTCCTTTATTCTTTTGATTTTTTAATTTAGTAAATATCCCGATTGAGGTTGGAGAAGGCGATAATGGAGGGCTCTGCGGCAGAAGCAGCGAAGAAGCGGCAGGAGTTTGCATTGGCATCCGCCTCCGAGCTCGCTTCGTCGTCGTCTTCTTTTACTCTGGCACCGGCGGTGGCTCGGTTCAGCGCCGAAGACGGAGTTGCAGAGCTCCGGTTTCAGCAGGAGGCTGAGTCCGATGCCCGCCTCAATGTCGATCTCCGAACTGCTAAGGTTTGCCTTTTATTTGGAGTATGCTGTTTCAGTTTAGTCTTTTTAAGTTAAGAAGTATTCAGCTTTGTTTGGTTGCCGAGAAAGTGAAGGAAAATAAAATATCTAGTTGAGAACAGTTTACTCTGGCTTTACTGCTTAAAAAATTTAATTATACATAGATATATGAATATGCTGATTTTTGTCGGTAGTATAATATTTGATACAATGTTGTAAGTTTGTTGTTTGATTTTGGTATGTGTTTCTTCCGTCCGCAGCTATTCAAGTTAGGTCCGGTGCAGTCGGTTTGCATAACGGAAGGTTCTGATACCGACAAAGAGGTAACCGAAATAGTTTATCTTTACGCGTTTGCATTTTGATGATTTTACTTTGCAAACTTTTGCAGTGCCAAATATGTATCACAGTGGATTTTCACGTTGATTGTACTTTTTCATGCAACATTGTTCG